TAAACTCAGCTCCGTTATAACTCACAAGGTTCACTGACAAACATTTGTCTTTTAAAAGACACATTTTCCCCACAAATACAACATGCTAACGTTATTAGCATAAGCCTATGACATTTCCCATTGCATATATTAGCCTAGCCGCTAGCACTATTTTTGGTAACTCAAGAAACATTTAACAAAGGCAATGTCACAAAATTCAGTTCAGTTTGAACTCACAAGCTTCACCAATAAAACAAAAAAAGACACCTTTCTCTCCACATAAACAAAATGCTAACGTTATTAGCTTTAGCCTATGACCTTTCCCATTGCATTAACTAGCCCAGCAGCTAGCAGACTTTTCTTTACTCATAAAAAGCCATAACAACAACAACATTTGCTGTGAGGGTCATAAGGACAGAGGGATGTCGTATGCTGTAAAGCCCTGTGAGGCAAATTGTGATTTGTGATATTGGGCTTTATAAATAAAACTGATTGACTGATTGATTGATTGATGGATTGATGGACTGATTGATTGATTGATCACATGTGAAGGACGTCATGGAGAATAAATGAGATGAAAAACACACTGTCACACGTTTTCATGTAAAAGTTAAAATGTCAGAACTCAGTCACTGAGTGAGGATTATATTCTACAGCGGACCAACACCAGCTGAGACCTGTCAGGCCTGAACAGAAACACTCTGCTTATTAAAGAACGACTGAATCTCTCTTCTCAGGCATCGTTTATACGACAACGATTTCAACTGAAAACGGTAAACGTTAGTTGCGTTTTGGCTGATCGTTTACGCGACAGCGGCGTTTTGGGTGCCTGAAAACGCAACATTTTGAAAACGGGTTCCAGAGTGCAACTTTTTGGAAACGGCAGCGTCTCAGTTGTCATGTAAACTTGCAATATGCAGTTCCTCTGAAAACGGAGACTTTTCACACATGCTCATTACGGTTCCAGTCACTAGGCACGCCGACCGTCACAACAACAATGCCAAGCTCTGTTTGTGCTGCTCACCCTGTTGATTTGAAGTGAAGTGTAGATCTGTTACTGTAGCAACTCCACCTCGTCGTCCATCCAGACAAAGTTATCTCTGCATGCTTTTGCCATTGTGTCTTCTTTGTCTTGGTTTGTAATCACAGCAATGAAGAGGAAGGTGCTTCAGCGCAGGCACATGGCGTCATGCCGTGGTGTTGCTTTGCAAATTTACACTGCCACCCATTGGCCTGGCGTGCATACTACAGCGTTTCCAGTAGATTTTGCGGCTCTGTGTGAACGGGGATCGTTTCAATCACATTGCCATATAAACACAGAAGTTTTTTAAACGCAAAGGACAGACTTTTCCATTTTTAGAGAAACCGTTGTTGTCTAAACAGGACCTAAAATATGTCTCCTCCTCCCCCCTCCTTCTCTCCTCCTCCCCCACCTCCTCTCCTCCTCACCCCTCCTCCTCTCCTCCTCCCCCACCTCCTCTCCTTCTCCCCCTCCTCCTCTCCTCCTCCCCCACCTCCTCTCCTCCTCACCCCTCCTCCTCCCCCACCTCCTCTCCTCCTCACCTCCTCACCCCTCCCTGTATTTTATTTTTCCATCCCAGCAGTTGTTGTCGGAGCACACAGCTGCAGCAAGCCTCAGTCCGTCACATTCTGCACATATTCGCCAGCCTGGGAAACCCAACCAATCACACACACACACACACACACACACAGTTTTTTGGTCAGCTGTTTGTGAGGCAGCTTCATCCTCTCTCGGACTCGCAGGGCACACGTGGTCATGATTCACCGAATCCTGAGGAACTAAACTCAAAATGTCAGCGTTCATTTATGTTCCAGAGCGTCGGAGCATTTCCACGACCACTCGTCCCGTCTTTAATGAAACGTTTACAGCGGGCGCCATCCTCCCCCGAGCCTCACAAATAAAACACCAAAAACCCTCAAAGCAAATCAAGATGTGTTTCCTGTTGTTCTGTTTCCTGCCTGCACACAACGGTAGGACCAAACGCTCCCACACTGAGCCTCATCATGAGGAGACATGTCATCGTCATACTGTGAGGTAACGGTGTTCACTGAGGCTCGCTTCAGGGCCCACGACCACACACTCTGATTCAAAGTGACACTCGTCTCAGCCGTGGAGTCGCTGAATGCTGCTGGTCACTTGTGTAATCCTCAGAGGCGGAGCTGAGATACAGTCGACCCTGAGACCGCTCTGTGGACACGGATGCCATGTTGGACATGTTTACAACACGCCTGTGGGTTCACGTTGACCATGAAACATGGGAGAGAGCCGCCCAGTCACCACGAGACAATGCTAGTGTTGTACGTACCAGGGATTTGTTTCATATCTATCATATCAACATTTATAGAGTGACGTAGTATCTGAGCTGACTGTGTCATCAGGAGGTGGAGGGGACGGCGAGACACCTCAGAGAGACGCCTGCCGAGCTGCAGACTGCTGTTAAAGATCAACAAACAAATACACAGGTTGTTTTTACTGACCCATCCCTGTGTTTATATATAGTGACATGTTTAATTCTGAGACATCCCGTGTTTGCAGCCGGGAGTGTGGATAACATATTTTTTAGCTTTAATGTTTCAGTCCACTGTGACTGGTCAATTATAAAACCTACCATCCAATCAGAAGATGACCACTGTTTTTTTATTGGCTGGTGAGTGCAGATGTTACCAGCATCTGGCTGCTGCTAATTTCCAACCCAATCCATGAGATGACTCGTTCCACTATCAGAGTTTGACCCATGTGGTCTGATAACATTTGGAGACTCTGGAGGAGCTGAACCACTGAATTATTTTATCCCCACTCAAGTTAGAGGAGCGCCACACCTGAAGCAGGTGACTCGGCCAGCAGAAGGAACCGCTCAGCCTCTGTTGGTCTCTAGTGCGCATGCTCTGTGGGCCGCACAGTGTGGAAGTAGTGCCGGTCAGCCACTGGTCATCTGGATCACTTCATACGCAGCAGTTCAGCCATTTTGGCTCCATAGCCTCCAACACTGTGCGTAGTTCTCTTAATACATCCACGCCATGGACCCAGACCTGAGGTCTTGTTTATAAAACAGACTGTAGGATCCAGACTAACAATGTACGTGAGGACAAAATCCTAAAATGGCGAGCGCCAAAAAATATTGGACAGTTTCTACAATCAGGCTCCACCTCACCATCTGTGTTGCCAATTTCCTGTCTCCTAAATGTTTATAGCCATGGGTCAGAGTTTCTCCACCAGGGTTGTTTTTATACATCACGACTTTAACGTATGAAATGGCGTACGCCTCTTTCAGACCTCGCTCTGTGTGTACAAGGGGTTATAAATGAGAAAACATTTGGCAGTACATCCAACCAGCCTCACAGCTACACAACTCAGTGATGATGACAAACTGCTGTCAGGTCCTGACCCTGTTTAGGATGATGAGCGTGAAGATGACCTTCACTGAGACGGTTACGATGGTTTAGTTGTGTCAACCAATCATCAGCTATTCAGGTGTCGCTCTCACATGATCACACGCGTGACGCTGTGGGACGACGATGAGCTGGTCACATGTTCTCTGTGAGTGTGAGGCTAGTTGGATGTACTGCCAAATTAATTTTACTCTGAGAAGTTCAGATCCAAATGTTCAGGACGTTTTTATTGCAGAGGTTCCTCCTCACACACACACACACACACACACACACTCACCAGCTGATTTACACCAGTAATAAACTCTTAATAAACAGGTTTCATGTGATGAACAGAAGCTGCTGACGACAGTGGGTGACACAAAAACATGAGCGTCTCTATCTAGAGTCAGTGTTTGGTTTGTCCCTTCTGGGCTACTGTAGAAACATGGTGGTGCAACATGGTGATCTCTGTAGACGAGGACCTGCTCCCTGTGGAGATATAAACGCCTCACTCTGAGGTATCCAGAACACAACAGTTATGATGACATCACTGCCAACACATCATCACACCTGGACTTTTAATATGACACAGCGTCCACAGAGCAGCTGACAGGGAGCAGACATGTTGAGAGACAACACTTACACACACAACACACAACACTTACACACAAAACACACGTCGTCACAGAGCTGCAGCTGATTCTTTTCAAATTCAACAGAAACCAAAGCAGATACATCTGCTGCTCCTCTGACCCTGTCCTTATCTCCTTATTTCCTCCTCTCCTCCCCTTCCCCCTCTCCTCTCATTTCCTCCCCTGCTCTCCTTCCTCCTCCCCTGTCTTCTCCTCCTCTCCTTCCTTCTCTCCTCTCCTTCCTTCTCTCCTCTCCTCCTCTCCTCTCAGTTCTACCAGGCAACAGCAGGATGATGATGATGATATAGCTGCTCCTCTGATGGAGCAGTGAAGGTGGAGATCAGGCTGCAGGAGCTCTGGGCCTCCATCTACTCTGTGTGTGTGTGTGTGTGTGTGTGTGTGTGTGTGTGTGCGCGCGCGCGCGCGCGTGTGTGTGTTGATGCAGCACACAGCAGAAGGCCTGCTGGCCAGTGATGTGCACAAATGCGCAGTGAAACACCGCCCACCTAATGGCGCTCAGTCGGTCAGCTGCTGATGACTGACCTGGATCAGGTCTGATGACTGACCTGGATCAGGTCTGATGACTGACCTGGATCAGGTCTGAGCTCCTCATGCACGATATGAGGGATATTTGACTGGATGTGGATGAAGAGGAGGAGGAGGGAGCTGATCGGAACTAAAATAGGAGCAGGTCTGATGTTTGCATCGATACAACCGGAGATACAGAGAGATGATCTGGTCCGGACCGACCGGAGGGGCGGGGACCCGGTCTGATGAGACCGGAGGACCGAACATACACTGAGAGGACTCTGCGTGTTAGTGCTCCAGTTTCCGCCCGTTTCTTCACACATACACACACACACACACACACACACACACACACACACACACACACACACACGGAGGAGCGCGCGCACGCGCACACACACACACACACACACACGGTAACACACACACAGTATCACACACACACTCACACGGAGGAGCGCGCACACCAACCTTGTAGACTTGTCCGTAGGTCCCATTTCCGACCACCTCCACCAGCTCGAATATTCCGGCCGGATCCTGCGTGTAAAACAAACACACACATTAATGAGCGGCTCTCTGCGGGTTTAACGGAGGGTTGGTTTGATGTGTGAGCCGGCTGCGCCCGTCCTGCTGGCCTCAGACAAAGAGACGGCTCCGCAGGGTCTGTGTCAGTCTGTAACGGTCTGTGGCGGTCCCAGAGACCCGGACTCACCCTGAGGGACGCCAGGTCTATGTCCACCAGACTCTTGGCCGGGGACTCGTTCGCCATTTTTGTCCAGACGGAGAAGATGAGCGGAATAACGGCGGGGTTTGAGACTCCTTCAGGCGGCCGGGGAGCGGCTCATCCTCGGCGGGGTTAGATTATAATCCTCTGATAATCCTCCGCTGCTGCTACATACCGACCGACCGACCGACCGACTGCCGGAGCTCAGCCTGCTGTCCCTCTGTCTGTCTGTCTGTCTCTGTGTCCTCCTGTCTGTGTCACTGTCTCTCTGCCTGATGGCTCTGCCCACTGTCCCTCCGCCTCTCCTCTGACTCCGCCCCTCCGCTCTCACACAGGGACGGTCCGAAAACAACTGGGGCCCCGGACCCAGGCCGAGGGGGACACCACACATCCACCCTAACCCTCACAGACAGAGACACACACAGGGAGCTGTAGATTAATGTCTTCTACTAAATTACAGTATAACAAGTTTATATTTCTGAATGTTAGACACCAGTTCATACTGTGTGATGTAATAATAACAATAATGATAATAATAATACAAATAATAATGATGATAGTAATAATAATAACATTATTATTAGAATTGGACACAATAATAATAATTGTAATAAACTTTATTTATGTCACCTCATACAAGAAATTCAGCACAGAGTGCTATAAATCATAAAATCAGGTATGATTTTGAGGAGTTGCAGCAGCTTGAAGTGTAAACACAAAGAGTGTTACAGACTTAAGTGAACAGATACGTTTAAATCTTTCCGTAATAAACATATATCGAGCTGTGTCCTCTGATATGTGTCTGCAGTGTGTTCCACAGTTTTGGGGCATCACTGACAGACTATGTCAATATGTAACTCTGATGCACTTTAAGTACATTTGTATTATGCATTATATTTTAATGCTGACTGAACGTCCTTTGTTTTTTGTTTTTATGTTGTTGTTTATGTTGTTGAATTCATCACCTGAGAGTCACATCTCATTTCACTGTGCAGTGACAGTAAAGACATTATAGTTTCAACAGTGAACACATCTGTACATATTACACACCTACAGACTCAGCACAGTCAACATATAGATTTATTCATATCTTAAGTGTTAAATATTGTAGCATAACACATTTATTTCTATCTTATTAGTTTAGATTTACATACTTATATTTCATACTCTTATTCTGACTTGTTATAATTCTCTGTTCTTTACATCAGAGCGACTCTGATCAATCAGAGTTTGTCCTCAGGGATCAATACATTTTTTATGGTACTGAAATCCACCAATCATCATCCCTCAATAATCCACCTAACATCAGCCCGCAATAATCCACCAACCATCATCCCTCAATAATCCACCAACCATCACTTCACTTCACTTCACTTCAACATCTCACAAATATTTTGTGTAAATCATTTCAGACTTTTTTATGTAAATTAAAGCTTCTTGCATGGAGGCTAACGTCCACACACACCTACATCAATAAAGAAATAAAGTGCAGACAGCGACGGTGTGTGACGTTCAGGTGTCAGAGGATCAGGCTCCTGATTTAAACCAGGAAGTGATGTCACAGGGGCGACTGTGGTGTTCTTGGAAAAGGAACTAATAAAGTTTTGGACTTGTCTGAGCAGGAGAATCAGAGGTGAGAAACACTTCATGAATGATGGCTCAGGTCCATCAGCGTCTCAGTGATCCAGAATCCTGCAGTCAGAACTCACCTGCCAGGAATGCAGCTGGTTTTATGTTGTCGACACCACGTGTGTTTCTCCTGCTGCGACATGTCAAAATATCTGCTGTGAGGAAGGTCTGTGGACACATGATGATGATGATGATGATGATGATGACGACATCACACAGAGTGGAAGTCAAGTTACTCTTAATAAACACTTCATAGACACTTTATTGACACTATGGACACTTTATGGACATCACAGCTGTCTGCTGTTTTGCACATACATCACTTGCACTAGATGTGCTCCCTTTATCCACTGTTCATTTTCATTCACTGCTGCTCATTATTATCCACTTCTCATCATTATTATTATTATTATTGTTATTTATCGCTGTTTCTTGTATTTTTGTACTTATCTTGCATGCCTAGTTTTTTTAAGTTTTAAGTTTTTAAGTTTAAATTTTGAAGTCTTTAATCTGACTCTTTCCCCTTGACTGCTGTAACACTGGAATTTCTCAATTATGTGATCAATAAAGGTGTATCTCATCTCATCTTATCTTATCTTATCTTAAAGTAAAGAATAATATAAGAATATAAGAATAAGAATAAGAAAAAATATATTCTGGGGTTGAAGCTAAGGTTCTACTAATAATCCCTCTGTGGTGTAAAGGTTTCCCTCAGAACCCTCACTGGGAGTTCATCAAGAACCCCTCCACCTTCTACAGGTGCTAACAAGAACCCACCCAGGAGGTTGTGCTGAGAACCTTTCATACGCCAAGGGTTTCATCCAGAACCCACTGAAAGAACCCTTCCTTCAAATAAAGGTTTTTCAGGAGCAGAAGGTTCTGTGTAGAACCTCAGCTCTTCAGGAGGAACTCTTTCAGAGCCCTTCTTTCTGAGAGTGTACTGATGAAATCTTTTCCAAACCTGATTATAAACCTCTGACAGGAGGTACAGAAGAAGGAACATTATTACAATGACTGAATGGATATGCAGATGTGGTTCTGTAATGAAACATGTAGATTCTAATATTTAAACATGATCTCAGCTCCTGTTTGTATCTGTTCCTCCTGAGTGTCTCTGTCAGACAGATACAAGATAATAAGAGTGTGAAATGGAAACAGTCATAAATATTTCACTGCTGCTCTCATATCCACACAGGCTGCATTATATCCATGGTCCTACCTGTCGCCTGCTGTCAAAAACTCTCTGACATTAAAGCTGCTGATGAGAGGTCAGGGTTAGTAGCAATCATGTGACGGTGATTTCAGATCTCCAGGTTCTTGATGTGCCACCTTCATGTTGTCCAACAGAACAAATATCAGAGGTCTCAACTGTGAAGCAGGATCTGGAGTTAGGAGGAAACTTCAGGGTTAACTCTGTGTTTTCAGTCTTTTTACCAGGATAAATCACCGCGGTAACTGATGCTGATGAATCACCGCGGTAACTGATTGTAGTCCACGTGATATTGACCAATCACATTTGAGCCGGCTGCAGTTGTTGCCAGGTTAAACAGTCCATGCAGTGAACTAACGAGGCAGAACATAATTGACGTCACTGCAAACCCTGAATCAATCTCAATGGTTCAGCATATTTACTTATATATAAAAGGAACTTAGAAATTCGCCTCCTCCGCCCAAATCAAACCGGAATGCCAAAAAATCGGGGGTCTGCCCCCAGAAGCTGTATTAGCCGTCTGCCGGAAGTCAGACACCGAATACAGCCGATGGGTTCTGAGAATGCTGGTTATCAGACAGACGATGTGACGGGTTAGTCAGATAGCGTAAATATATCGTGGGTGAGATGAAGTTCTGATCTCAGATCAGTGTCTGATGTTTGAGGCTGATTCAGACTCTGTTTGGAGTGAAGGATCTCAAATCATCTCCTTCACATACTGTGTTCTTATTTTATTTTAAAAAATATTATCAAGTTCTTAATTCTGTTTTCTTCATTTGTTGAATGTAGTACATTATATATTATTGTCATTGTTATCATTATTAGTAGTATATATGTTATTCCTATACTAAGAGCACCAATGTGGCAAAAAAAATCCTGTGAGTGAAAGAGAACTGTAAAGGACATCAGGACGTCACCATCTGTGGACTCATGGTGAAAAGATGCTCTAAGATTTAAATAAAAACTGGAACATACTGACACATACAACATATAAAGTAAATCTATAATCTGCCTGACGTCAGTGAGCTGTCTGCTCCTCAGTCTGAGGAAACCTTTACCTGCAGTCCACTCCTCAGATGTTCTTCATCATCCTCAGTTCTTCTTCCTTCTTATTTTAAATGTCCTCTCAGTCCATCTCTGCTTCAGTTTCTCCTCCACAGGAATGTTGGACACAGTTTTACAGCTGCCTGTTAATGCTGCTGGATCCAGATGTTTATTTCACTGCTTCACTTTAATTCTGCTGCTCACAGAAACTCAACATCTGCTGGCAGAACACAAACCACAGGACCGCAGAGACATTAAAATGGTCACCAGTATGACTCTACACACAGTCTGTATAAGAACATGCTGTACATTCAGTTTAGTCGTACTGTAGTTTCTGCAGTTTCAGCTCAGTCTGTGGAGGGTTACAGCAGCTCTGTGGAGAGTTACAGTAGTTCTGTGGAGGGTTACAGCAGCTCTGTGGAGAGTTACAGCAGCTCTGTGGAGAGTTACAGTAGCTCTGTGGAGAGTTACAGCAGCTCTGTGGAGAGTTACAGTAGTTCTGTGGAGAGTTACAGCAGCTCTGTGGAGAGTTACAGCAGCTCTGTGGAGAGTTACAGCAGCTCTGTGGAGAGTTACAGCAGCTCTGTGGAGAGTTACAGCAGCTCTGTGGAGAGTTACAGCAGCTCTGTGGAGAGTTACAGCAGCTCTGTGGAGAGTTACAGCAGCTCTGTGGAGAGTTACAGCAGCTCTGTGGAGAGTTACAGCAGCTCTGTGGAGAGTTACAGCAGCTCTGTGGAGAGTTACAGCAGCTCTGTGGAGAGTTACAGCAGCTCTGTGGAGAGTTACAGCAGCTCTGTGGAGAGTTACAGCAGCTCTGTGGAGAGTTACAGCAGCTCTGTGGAGAGTTACAGCAGCTCTGTGGAGAGTTACAGCAGCTCTGTGGAGAGTTACAGCAGCTCTGTGGAGAGTTACAGCAGCTCTGTGGAGAGTTACAGCAGCTCTGTGGAGAGTTACAGCAGCTCTGTGGAGAGTTACAGCAGCTCTGTGGAGAGTTACAGCAGCTCTGTGGAGAGTTACAGCAGCTCTGTGGAGAGTTACAGCAGCTCTGTGGAGAGTTACAGCAGCTCTGTGGAGAGTTACAGCAGCTCTGTGGAGAGTTACAGCAGCTCTGTGGAGAGTTACAGCAGCTCTGTGGAGAGTTACAGCAGCTCTGTGGAGAGTTACAGCAGCTCTGTGGAGAGTTACAGCAGCTCTGTGGAGAGTTACAGCAGCTCTGTGGAGAGTTACAGCAGCTCTGTGGAGAGTTACAGCAGCTCTGTGGAGAGTTACAGCAGCTCTGTGGAGAGTTACAGCAGCTCTGTGGAGAGTTACAGCAGCTCTGTGGAGAGTTACAGCAGCTCTGTGGAGAGTTACAGCAGCTCTGTGGAGAGTTACAGCAGCTCTGTGGAGAGTTACAGCAGCTCTGTGGAGAGTTACAGCAGCTCTGTGGAGAGTTACAGCAGCTCTGTGGAGAGTTACAGCAGCTCTGTGGAGAGTTACAGCAGCTCTGTGGAGAGTTACAGCAGCTCTGTGGAGAGTTACAGCAGCTCTGTGGAGAGTTACAGCAGCTCTGTGGAGAGTTACAGCAGCTCTGTGGAGAGTTACAGCAGCTCTGTGGAGAGTTACAGCAGCTCTGTGGAGAGTTACAGCAGCTCTGTGGAGAGTTACAGCAGCTCTGTGGAGAGTTACAGCAGCTCTGTGGAGAGTTACAGCAGCTCTGTGGAGAGTTACAGCAGCTCTGTGGAGAGTTACAGCAGCTCTGTGGAGAGTTACAGCAGCTCTGTGGAGAGTTACAGCAGCTCTGTGGAGAGTTACAGCAGCTCTGTGGAGAGTTACAGCAGCTCTGTGGAGAGTTACAGCAGCTCTGTGGAGAGTTACAGCAGCTCTGTGGAGAGTTACAGCAGCTCTGTGGAGAGTTACAGCAGCTCTGTGGAGAGTTACAGCAGCTCTGTGGAGAGTTACAGTAGTTCTGTGGAGAGTTACAGCAGCTCTGTGGAGAGTTACAGTAGCTCTGTGGAGAGTTACAGCAGCTCTGTGGAGAGTTACAGTAGTTCTGTGGAGAGTTACAGCAGCTCTGTGGAGAGTTACAGTAGCTCTGTGGAGAGTTACAGCAGCTCTGTGGAGAGTTACAGTAGCTCTGTGGAGAGTTACAGCAGCTCTGTGGAGAATTACAGTAGTTCTGTGGAGAGTTACAGTAGTTCTGTGGAGAGTTACAGCAGCTCTGTGGAGAGTTACAGTAGCTCTGTGGAGAGTTACAGCAGCTCTGTGGAGAGTTACAGTAGCTCTGTGGAGGGTTACAGCAGCTCTGTGGAGGGTTACAGTAGCTCTGTGGAGAGTTACAGTAGCTCTGTGGAGACACAGAGACATGTTAATGTCCCTTTGTCCAGTCTCACTGTGTCCTCTGTATCAAACACCTTCAGTCTCAGAGGACATTGTCTGGACCACAGTGAGCTGAGTCTGCTCAGTTTGTCCTCTCTGTCCTCCTGCTCACTGATGAGTTTTAAAGGTTTTAAAGCTCAGCAGTAACCAGCTGGTTCATCCTGATGTCTCGGTGTCCTCCGTCTCTCAGACCAGAGCTCATCTAGTCTCAGACTGTGTGAACCAGGTGAGTGTTTCTGTCTGAGGAATCTGTGTCAGAGTCTGTGATGTCATCTGTCCACCACATACAGTACATTGATCATTACATCTCTAAATCTTCCATCAACATGATTTAACAGTTACAAAAATCTATCATTCAGATTTCAGACTGCTGAGTTTATTTGTTTAGTTTGTTAGAGTCTGTCTGAACCACGACACCACGATTTATTCCCCAAATATTTTCAACCATCTGTCCATCATCAGGGGAGAAGACTGCATTTGTCTTCATGTTCCATCCAGTGAGTCGACACCAGATGAAAATGTTGGCGCTGTACGTTTCTGCAAACCACAGATACGTTACATTTGCATGTTTCATCAGCATCTCATCATATAAAGTGACGTCATATCTGAGCTGATGTGTCATCAGGAGGTGGAGGATGGTGGGACAGCTCAGAGACACACCTGTCAGTCTACAGACCTCTGTTCAACACCAACAAACTAAATGGACTCATCACCATGTTTCCAGTAGCTTTCATGGAAACCAAATGTGGCTGGGTTTCAGTGACCTGTTGCTGTAGTGGCAGCCTTGTAGTGTTTTTTGGGTATGAGGTGTTTCCTCATGAGCCATCTGGAAAGGATGAAGGGATGAGGGGAGATTCTAATGACAGGAAGTTTGTTGGTCAGTTAATGAACATTGTGACGATGGTTTGTTGTTAACTCCTCTCCTCCAGTACAGGACAATATAAAACATATTATTCCCATGTCTTCTCTAAAATATGACAGACGAGGCAGAAAGTCAGAATGAGTGATTTTCTTTATTATCAATAAAAAAGTAGGTATAAGATCTCCCTTTACAAATATACCAGGGAAATGCAGCACGTTGTGAACCCCGTCCCCACACGGACAGAGAGCCAGTGACTGCAGACGAGTCACCAACATCTGGAAGGACAGACTCATACACAGACACACGGACGTTTACGTGCACGCTGCCCGACAATGCCATCACAACCACAGCTGTCATACGGACACACCTGAACCAGCTGACCACACCTGAAACGCTGCTGCTCGTCGCTCTGTGCAGGTACCGTCAGGACTTTGATGACTCACACACAGAGTTGAAACACTTCCTTTAACATTCATCCTGTATTTAAGGTTCAAACACAGAGGCAGTGTTTCCAAACTAAACTAACTGAAAAACAACTAACATCCTTCTTTTTCTTCTTCTAGTCACTTTATACTACGTTTGTATCGACGTGTTGAACATGTGACCACAGCCAATCACTGATCAGCCAAAGAGCGTCAACAGGAACCTGTCCTGGGTCACCTGTGTGCTCCTCATAGGTTACAGACCAAACAGGAAGTCAGTCACACAAATATTTCTCTACAGCGCCACCAGCAGTCAGAAATCCAGCAAGGACTTGTCAGGCTACAGAGTCCTTACTGAGACTCGTTACTGAGACTCGTTACCAAGTTGTTACTGAGAGTCGTTAACGAGTCGTTACTGAGAGTCGTTACTGTGCAACATGTGACTAAATATCCAGTTTTAAGTTTTACCACTGGAGGCGCTGTTCAGCTCAAACAGTCCCACCTTTCAACAACCTTTAAATCATTACAGTCGTGACACTGTCTGTGTTCCAGTATTTAAAGAGACAATAACATATTTTAACATAGTTTTCTCTGTTATCAGATCCAGTCAGGAAGATTTGGAGGACAGTGAGGATCAGACAGGCTGATGTGACCATAGAGAGAGAGGAAGATGAATCACAGCTGAGGGAGACTCTGCAGAGGTGCTGGTGGCTGTGGGCCGAGCAGCTGCAGCTTCAGCTGATCGAGAGCTGCTGCTGAGTTTACATGATTATGTTTATTCAGACTGAAAACAGCTGTATTTCCACCTGTGTTCACAGTGTCTCTGATCACCTCTGAGGAGGTTTGATCGATCAGATCATAATCTGTCATCAATATATTCTGTGTATCCTGTATGTTCACGATGACACACAGTGATGTAGATTAAACGTCTCCACGCTCACTCGTCAGTTCCTGAAATACTAACTCCTTCATGTTTATTTCAGTCACTGTTTAATGTGTTCACCCACAGACAATGATTGATTTTATTTGTTGAGTAGTGCCACGTTTCAGAGGCATTCAAATACAATCTGGAGACTGCAAGATGTGATTAATGATTTTAAATGTCTCTGATAATTAATAACATTATTATTTCAGATGTTTAATCTTCTACAGATTAAATTCTGTACGAGTGATTTCTTCCTTTTTAACAGTCTCATTATACATTTCTGTTTAAACATCCTGAATCAAACATTATCTGATCACCTGAAACTCATCTTAATGCTCTGTGCAGAGGCGTCTCACTGTGATCACGACTCCTCAGGTCAGCGTTATGTTCTGTACCTGTGTGACAGCGTGCACGTAAACGTCCTGAGAGGAAGAGGAAGAGGAAGAGGAAGAGATAGAAGGATAGAGGGTGAAATGCTCCTTAAATAAAACATTAAAAGGCCTCAGAGTTACATTGATAAACACAGAAACCACCCGACTCAACATTTCACCTTTCACAGACACTTCAGGGCAGAAAATAAAACTACGACAAGAAAATGTACAATCAACCCCCCCAAAACTATGTCTGTGTGTGTGTGCGTGTGTGTGTGTGTGTGAGACGTCCCAGAGATATGCTACAACAGGACAGGAGGCTCCAGACCCAGACTGGAGCTGGAGATGCATGTGTGTGTGTGTGTGTGTGTGTGTGTGTGTTCCTACATGTGACGGCCCAAAGAGACGCGCCTGTCCTCACACAGTGCGTGTGTGTGTGTTAACACGGGCGCCATTACTGTCTGATTTCACGGTGCCCTTCACTTTCTATCAGACAGTTTGAGGTACACGCCCACCGGCCCGGTGAGGCAGCAGATAGGACACGAGTTTTGGCTCAGTCAGGAAGATTGAGGGCAAAGCAGCTGGTGTACGTACGTACGTGTGTTCAGCTCGCCAAGCGGCTTCATACAGAGAGGAAAGAGACGACAGCGCCGGACCGGTACATTCACTGAGTGAGTGTCTGTCTGGGTTTGTTTTTGCTTCATATAACAGGAGGTGACTTCCTGTTTGGACTGGACTGTCCGATACACACTGCTACACAGCACACAGCTGTGGAGCCAGCAACCACACAGCTCTGCGGCGACCACGCGGCTTTGTGGCAACCACGCGGCTCTGCGGCGACCACACGGCTCTGCGGCAACCACACAGCTCTGTGGCTCTGCAGCAGCACACATAAGTGAAATGCTGCAGAGTAAACATAGAGAACCTCACACTGTGTCTGTGACGTTTGATCCATCATTAACAGAGTCAGGTCATTATCTGAAGGTGGAAGTGAAACTGATTCGACGTCAGACTCATCAGAGAACGCCAGGTGAGAGACGTGGTGGCGCCTGACTCGTCCTGTGAGGAGGGACGAATGGATGAACGTCCTCACATCAGCACCCTGCCCACCTGACGCTCTCCACGATCTGCTCTGTGCTCAGAGAGGCTGCATGACAGCGAGGCATTGACAAGTGAACACATGTAAAAATGAGAGGCTGAATGAATGACGGAACAGATAAATGAATGAACTGTTGAACTGCATAGAAGCCCGGGGGGTTCTGGTCCGTCCTCCCCGAGCGGTCAGGCGATCATCGCGGCCTTTTGCGCGTGACGAAGATGAGGACCCTGCGGATGGCGATGAGGCGGTCTTTGAGTGAGGTCATAGCCAGGATGGTGAGCTGGGCTCGATTCTCCAGAGGAAGGACGGCGAGCAGCCACCAGCACCAGGCGGGTCCACTGGGACTGGCCTGTGGGAGAGAAGAGAGACAGTTGGTCTCTGAGGATCATGACACAGAGCGAGACCTGAGAGGAGCCGCGTCGTACAGTCAGTGAGGGTCACAGAAGGTCACCTGACCCAACACGTGCTATGTCTTTAACCGCCTGGAAACACAAGGTCGTCTGCTGAGTAGCAACCATAATAAGCCCCAGCCTACCTACAGGCCGCGCCCCTTAAAATTTGACAAAAATTTAAATCTACAAAAAAATCTTCCTGAACAATTAACGGTCACCCTGATGGACTCTGGACGTTATGATGACGTACGCATGACTAAGAATCGGTCATATGAAAATCTTTTTTATGACTTAAATCAACACCAAATGTGTTTTTAGCCCTGTGAGCCTGATGTCATGGTGCTGATGTCATGGTGCTGATGTCATGGTGCTGGTCCACCAAGTCTCATTCACATGTGATGGAGGACGAGCAAACGACAGGACTTTAATGTGTGATTACTGAAAAGCTGCAAACACTGTGAAGATTAAAGTGTCTGATCGGTCTGACTGCAGACTGAGTTACAGCAGCTGACATGAGTCTGTGAACCTGCAGCTGTATGTTCACCCTGTGTTCAGGTTTAAACACGCAGTGACGGAGGTGATGGAGTTGACAGAGGTGACGGCGGTGTGTGCTGACCTGTGGGTCGGGGTCTTTACTGGGCAGGTGTCCAAAGTGGCTCAGAATCTGACTCTTCATGTTGTCCTTCAGGGAGGTAAACCAGTTGTTGGCCTGCTCATACACAGAGTCGTGAAGCTTCAGGAGCTCCACCAGCTCCTCCCCCTCCACCTGATTGGACACAGACATTTATGTTAATGAGCACAGAGAGACGACAGACTGAGTCAAACTCAGGACTGTTCTTTTTTCCTGCTGCTCAGCTGTCACAGAGCGGCTCCTGGTGAGAACCTGACATCTGACTGACAGCAGCCTGATGGAGACTCTACAGGACACACACACACACACACACACACACACACACACAGAGCTCACCTTCTTGTCCTCCAGGTACTCGATCTTGGCGGTGTTGTAGCCATCTCTCTGGCCGTGGCTGAGGACCTTAAACCGTGACACGCCGATGGTGTCGACCACTGAACGACCGTCAGGAAAGAACTTCACGTCTCTGACCTGAAAGAAGTTTGTCTTGTGTTTACACCGGAGGAATCTACAGACCGTTTATATCTTGTGTTTACAGTTCTTTGACTCCACACTGCAAACTAACACCATCTTCCACACACACACACACACACACACTCTCTCACCTCCAGCAGGCAGCCATAGTCGGCGAAACCTTTGAGCTCGTCAGCTATGCACATGCCAAACTGCTTGGTGCCTGTCTCCATGGAGCGGCGGATCATGAGGCGGTAGCGCGGCTCAAACACGTGCAGCGGGCAGGGGATGGTGGGGAAGGCCATGGTGCACACAAAGATGGGAACTTCCTGGTTCAAGCTACAACAGACGCAGAGGAGAGGGTGTTGAGATGTTTGTGTGTATCTGCACATCTCAGAAATCACAAATATATCTAAGGTTATAAAAACCATCTGATTCTGTCTGAGACTCATGAATCAAACTGTGACATAGAGTCTGAACACTGAGCTGCTGTAATCATTCAGTATCTGTTACAATATAGAAACGTCCTGTGAGGAGTGTGTTCAAATGTACAGTAAATAAACACTGTCTGTGTGTGTGTGTGTGTGTGTGTGTGTGCGCGCGCGCGCGCAAGACACTGACTTTGACAGCTCCTTCATCTCCTCCTCATGGATCTTCTTCCTCTCAGTCAGCTCGTCTCCAAGGTAACGCTGCAGCACTTCCTCCATTAGCAGGGTCTTCTTGTAGCCCCTGGTGGCCAGAAACTGCAACAGCAACACACGAGCACAGTCAGTATGATGTTTATGACATACTAAGATTTTTATTTTAATGATCTGTTGGTCCAAAAAATAACCATTTTATCTTGTCTGACCCACAGTACAAGGAAAAGGATAAATAACTGTTTCAGTGACAAACTGAACACAGTGCAGACCAGACTGTATATGAGACTGTGTATGTGTGTGTTTGTGTGTTTGTGTCTGTGTATTAGACTGTGTGTATTTATCAGTCTGTGTGTGTGTGTCTGTGTATTAGACTGTGTGTATTTATCAGTCTGTGTGTCTGTGTATTAGACTGTGTGTATTTATCAGTCTGTGTGTGTGTCTGTGTATTAGACTGTGTGTATTTATCAGTCTGTGTGTGTCTGTGAATTAGACTGTGTGTATTTATCAGTCTGTGTGTATCTGTGTATTAGACTGTGTGTATTTATCAGTCTGTGTATTAGACTGTGTGTATTTATCAGTCTGTGTGTCTGTGTATTAGACTGTGTGTATTTATCAGTCTGTGTGTGTGTGTGTGTATTAGACTGTGTGTATTTATCAGTCTGTGTGTGTGTGTGTGTATTAGACTGTGTGTATTTATCAGTCTGTGTGTGTCTGTGTATTAGACTGTGTGTATTTATCAGTCTGTGTGTGTGTGTGTGTATTAGACTGTGTGTATTTATCAGTCTGTGTGTGTCTGTGTATTAGACTGTGTGTATTTATCAGTCTGTGTGTGTGTGTGTGTAAGACTGTGTGTATTTATCAGTCTGTGTGTGTGTGTGTGTTAGACTGTGTGTATTTATCAGTCTGTGTGTGTGTGTGTGTTAGACTGTGTGTATTTATCAGTCTGTGTGTGTGTCTGTGTATTAGACTGTGTGTATTTATCAGTCTGTGTGTGTATCTGTGTATTAGACTGTGTGTATTTATCAGTCTGTGTGTGTACCTCGGATAGGTTCTCTTTGCACAGAGGACAGTTGGGGTTGTGGTCCAGGCAGCGCTCCAGACACTTGATGCAGAAGGTGTGTCCGCAGGGAGTGGCCACCGGCTCGTAGAACAATCTGGAGAACAGACAGAACAACACATGACAAACGGCACACGGCCAAACCTGAAATACTGTGGCCATCAACGCCGCCTGTCAGCTGCTGATGTCATGTGTCACACAGAGAGACACGTCCTGAAGACATGACAATATCAAAGTTACTGTTTGAAGTGTATAAGTCAATATTGTTGGTCCTACTGTGTGTGTGTGTGTGTGTGTGAGTGTAACAGTGGACTTTGTGCGGTCACCTCATGCAGAGTGAACACTCCATGTCTCCACTGTCCAACAGCTTAGCAGGAAACGTCCTCCCTCTGTTCACTGCGGCCGTCTGAACGCTGCTCGCCTCGTCTGTACAAAACAACACAGTGTCATCACGTCTGTGTGTGTGTGTGTGTGTGTGTGTGTGTGTGTGTGTGTGTGTTCAGGTTATTTATTATCCAGAGAGCACAGACTGGAACGCTGTGTGAAACATAAATAAAAACAGGACTCAGTGATGTGTGAATCTTTTCTGACCTTCTGGTCAGAGATATTTAACCCTTTGGACTCTGGTCAGTGTCAACAGGAGTGTTTCTGCTTCCTGTGATGTCATTTCTTTGAAGATCTTTAAATGCTTCTTATCCCTAAAACCTGTACAACCTGAGCTAGAAGCTCATGTCGGTCAATAAACCAGAATTTAAGTGCTCAAAGTATTAAAATCATGTCAATAAAAAACTGAACAGATTTTCCACAGATTCCTCTGGCGCCACTGTGCATGTGTTCATGTGTGCATGTGTTCATGTGTGCATGTGTTCATGTGTGTATGTGTGCATGTGTTCATGTGTTCATGTGTTCATGTGTGCATGTGTTCATGTGTTCATGTGTGCATGTGTGCATGTGTTCATGTGTCTGCAGCTCAGTGATGTCATCATGAACCTACAGACAACGTGATGACAGTGAAGGCCTCAGTTTTCTGCTGCAGACAGAATGAACGCTGCTTCGTTTAAATCAGTTCTTATTTTACATCTATTTTAATAACCATCTGTTACAGCTGTCTGCTGATGTCTGTTTGTTAAAGGGTTAATATTCAAACTGTTTAAAACCTTTATTGATTTTTTTTTAAATCATGCTCTGTCTGTCATTAATAATCTTCTTGTGATGACACAATAAATTAACTAAATTCAGCTGTTAACAATGATTCAAAGCAAACTGCAGTCGGTCACTAACGTGTCACTGCAGTTTGTATGTAACGGAAACTTCTGATTATGGAGCATGTCACTGGTGTGACTGGTGTCACTGGCAGAGACATCAGTCTGTTCCATTGCTCATCTGTGTGTCCATGTGTGTGTAGGTCCTAACATGAGGTGTGGTCAGGAGCATTGTTGGTGTGTTGGTATTTAGAGGCAGCAGGAAGCAGCCAACATAAACCTGGTCTACAGTCAGAATGGTGCAGAGTTTCCTGCTGTTTAAAGGACATATTATTCAGACAGTAAAATGGGCCTATACAGGAGGGTTCACAACACGTGCACACTCTGCTTGTTACACGCACAGGGAGCGTGGAGGGGCTGCAGGTGGGTAAAATAAAACATCATGAATCAGGAAAATGTTAATGACCTTCTGTAAAATGTGAACATGGCAGAGCTGCTGTCTGACTCCACATTAATAGAGACACGGTCCACATTTACAGTCGAGGAGCAGCAGAGTAACTTCACTGATTATTTCAGAAGCTAAAGTTTAGCTGTGTTTCCTCTGTCAGGTTCATAACTACAGTTTGTAGTTTAGCTGCAGTGACATCACAGCTCTGACTGTGTTACTGTCTGCAGGAAACAACTCACTGCTCCTGTTTACAGAATCTTCTGTGTACATATCAGGTCACCTGCTGCAGGTGGATTTAAGAGGGAATGATGGATGACACTGTGATTGGTTGAATCCATGTTACACCCAAAACCCATCTATAGTTAATTCCAGGACTAAATACAACCTCTTTGTGTCCAGATGAATGAACAGAATCTACAACATGTAATTCTTCATCATACTTCCTGCTTTGTTTACTTGTTAATGTGCCATTCAAATGGTGATATTTCCCACTTTACTTAAAGGCAACACAAAGAATATAACAGTGATGTGTTCACTGAAATTAGACCAAGAATTACTTATTATAGTTCTGTATGAGCTGATGATATCATGAAGTGAACTCGTGTCTGTCCTACCAGGTTTGAGCAGTTTGGAGGGCGTGTTGAAGATGGCTGAGGGTCCATCCCCGCTGTGTTTCCTCTTGAGGCCACCAGGGGGCGGTGGCAGGGTGGCCAGGACGTCAGCCAGGCTCTTGGTGCTCCCCTCCCCGACAGCACGGTCCGATTTACCAGGAGACGCAGCTGAGAGTCTGGAGTTGTCCACCGGAGCGCTTTTAGTCACACTGAACTCTGAGTGCTGGACACACAGACAGACAGACAGACAGACAGACAGACATCAGTCATGAAGGGACAATCGTTCTGCAGTCACACAGGTTGGGGATGAGATACTGAGACAATGGATGTCAGTCTGTGAGCAGGTACCTGTGAGGAGGAGGAGGAGCCAGGTTTCTGTGCCAGGGGCCTCAGGGACCGGAGCAGGGCGGGGGGTTTGATGAGGCGTGTGGCCAGCCCCCCCTGCAGCGGGTGTAGCGGCGTTGGCATGTCTTCATTCTCAAAGACAGAGGAGAACACCTCACTGAGGACCTGCAGGATGAGACAAGACACCTGAGTCATGTTCACAGTTCACTCACAGGTCAGCAGAGGCAGACAGAGACATGTGTTTTACACCTGTATTCTGACAACAGGTGAGTTTATAATAACAGTCAGAATAAAACTGCCTCGTGACCACATCAGTCAGAGGAGGCCGGCCCCATCAGTGAGGGGGTGTAAACCTCTGCTCATCTGTTTATTAGGAAAACAGTCTGATTGTTTCTCTCTGGTTGGAGTTAATATTTTCTTCCTGAACATGTTTGCTCCATCTGAGGGGAACATCAGGTGACGTAGCTGCTGCATGCACCAACATACTGCAGTAACTGTTTGTATGCTCCAGAAGATTGTTCATGAAGTCAAAAAATATTTAGCACTGTGCTCGTGCTGCGTCCTGATGTCAGTGCTCTGTGTTATAACTGTGTTCTTTGGTTCTGAAACAGCCTGATGTCTCATTGTTGTTACAGTGTGGAGTCACCTGACATTATCGACCAGGAGCCTGAAGATGAGATGTTTAGGGAACATCTGTAAACTGAACTGTCTACTGACAGTCAGCATGTGAGGTGTTTAGGGGACATCTGTAATTTGTAGCTACAGAAAACAACCTGGGTCACACTGACATTAGTTATTACTACAAACTGTATAAACAGGTGGAACCTCTTCTTCTACCTCTTCACTTTATAATCTGAATGAATTCTGAATTTAATTTTCTCAATAAAGTTGGAATAACAACTTGTTCTGTTATATTTCTGGCAGATGAGAGGCTTCACATCGGGCTCGTAAACACACGTCTGATCAGATCTCTTTACTTAGTGTCCATGTAAACAGTTCAGTACGAGTCTGTGTCGTCTGTATGAAATCACAGGTCCTGTGATCTTCTCTTTGCACAGACATCAATGAATCGTGACATTCATTCACACTTTGCCATGTTATAAAAGTCAGAAGTTGAAAAACATTATGTGAGAGGATGAATAACGAATGTTGTAGTATTTTAATTCAAAGTAGCTTCTCTCACCTTCTGAGCCTCCAGTCTGACTTTGGTCCAGTCCGGCTTCAGAGCCACACACATGAAATATTCCTGTAAGGCCTCATCGTTCCTGCCGGCTTCACTCAGCGCCGTGGCCTTCAGACAGTGAGCCTGAAATTAACAGACAAATAGTGTGATTAACAACATCCAGTATTTTCTCCTTCTACAAAGAGAGAAAAAGACGACCCTCAGTGGGCACCTTTACATGCACACTAATATTCCACTGTTATTCTGAACATGAGGTCATGTAAACATGTTCTGCTGAGATCATCCAAATTTTTGAAGGACAAAATTCAGAATATTTAGTGCATGTGAAGACAGTCAGTGTTTCTGTCTGCTCTTGTCAGCAGGTGTTTTATAACAGGATGTGATGGATCATTTGTTATTGTATGTTTTATTATAAACACCTTGAAACCAAATGTCTTGTTGGCAACAGCTTTTAAAACTGCAGTAAGTTTAAAGTCATCATTCATTACCCGGTGACATCACTAACAGCTTCAGTACCAACTAATAATGTGGTTATTTCTATACCAACAACTTACATGTAGCAAACAGAAAATATAAATATGTCTTTTATCACAACTACCAGATAAAAACAGTGTGTGTAAAACTGTCTATAAAGCAGTTACCTGCAGCACAGACATTATGTAGTTTTTATAAAAACGATTTTTAAAGATTATAGCTGATCATTAACATCTATGTTCAGTGGCAGTATACTCTGAGGGGTTTACTGTGACCTGCAGGGGGCGCTGTTGCCCGTCAGCAGGACACACAACAACTATCTGATGTTAATGAACATATGATCCATATATATAGAGATGATCTGGACTCAGGTGTGTTTGACTCCGCCCTGCAGGTCCACGTCAGAGCTGCGTCTCACCTTTGGCCACAGAGGTTTGATCCGACAGAGGCAGCTGGCGTCCTGCACGGCCTGACTGAAGTTCCTCATCTCAATGTGCAGCTTGGCCCGTTGGCACAGCAGTCTGCCTGAAGAGGGAGCTGTAGACCACAGAGAAAGAAACACACACACACACACACACACACACACACACAATCAGGTCAGTGGAAACGCCTCTAACGGACAGACAGGTTTTTCTAGGTCTGACAGAAGTAGGCCAACAATGTCCCGTGTGCTGGAGACGTGTTCGTCATGTGACAACGCTGACGAGCTCCTTATATAAAACTTATATAGTTCTGATAGGTCAGAACATCAGACGTGTCACTGGACAATTACCTCTTTATTTCCGTTATACAACACACACACACACACACACACACACACACACACGCGGAGCAAGCAGGTTTGTGTGCTACACTTTAGTCATCATTACATAAACATTATGTTCACACTTTTATACAAGTCTTCTCTGTTATTAAGGACCAAGGCTGAGAATGTTGTCTCAAACTGGGACTGTGATTACATCAGAGTTAGTTACAAGGTCAACATGTTATATTATATGAACATATATACACATACATACACACATACATATATACATACATATATAATTTATTTATATACATGCATACACAAACACATACATAAACACACACACACACACAC